GCGAAATTATTAGTAGTATGGCATATTGACTGAATATGTCTAATCTTACCACATTTGAAACATTTAGCATCACGAAACACACATGAATTACATTACAGAAATTTACCACAGGACGAACATTTATCAAGCTGATGTGCACAGGGAAACAAGAAGCCATGACAAACTACGAAAGCCATTTTTTCGGGACGTTATTTCATTTTATTCAAAGCTTGTGAAACACTGACATTTATTTTTGTCCCTGTTTTATTCTACAGAACATGGGCTTTCGTCCGATGTATAAATCATTGCCATATCTCTTTTTGTTCCGAAGCTATTGTAATTTAAACATAATATTTTACACTTTATTTTCTGCCCTAATTCCCGGTTTTGGACATAATTGCATTTTCCCAAATTATTGTACGCTGTGATCGAGCAAATCACCTATTTATTCATGTACCTTTTTGCACTAATCTGAATTCAGAGATTTCTCAGTAAATCAGGATATCGTGATACAGCCGATAGTGTTCCAACTGTCTTGTCCTTTCTCATTGCTGTGCTTGCGAGGCAATCAGGTGCTAGAATAGTTTTCTTCTCTCTACCCCACCTCGGACTCACGCGTACTAGTCTCCAGGTTAAACCAGCCAGCCGAGCTAGAGTATAAAGATCAAGGTCATAAGAAACTTGTGAACATCTTCGCGACCTCAATGCATTGTTATCGGCATAACCTTGAGTACACATTGGACTGAGATGGCTGTTTGTTTCAAAGCGCGAGGGTGTACATACATATTTATTCATTTTATTCAGTACAGTCCGTACACGGAATAACAATGGTTTCACTTTCGGTGAACATTTACTTAGTAGGTGTATGTGATATAGATCAAAAAAGTTGTTCTATTTTTGACGGCAAAAACGCTGTTAATAGCTGATATATAACAACATCCAAAATACTTAATAACACATAACATGTGCGCGAGAACACGTAGCATACCTTTATGCCGTCCCCTGGTTAAGACTATCGTTTTTAGGGTGACTGTGAATTGTTGATACTAAACCACCCAATTCTTTTGACTCTCAAATACTGTATATGTGTTGAAAATGTACCTGAAAACTTTGAAATAATAAAACATATTTCCCAATCAGTTCCTGTGGCTTTATTCCGGAATAATCTTTCAGCTTATCAATAACCGTAGGATTATAATGAGTAGCAGTGGTAGTAGTAGCCCCTTTGCGACAGATAACACGTGGCTCGGCTATGCGGACTTGGTCACTCTACGTACCCTCTTCTTATTTATAATAAATATATTATTCAATCCCCAGATCAAATTTATTGTTCAGTGGTTCGTACGAACATGACCCCTGACTGTCGCGATAGAGTGAGTCAATATAGACAGTCATGTGGCACCAAAGAACTCCTAAGTATTTTCTTTAACGCCTCTAACTCTTTATTCTATGGAGTCTTATACCAATGGTAAACGAAACTTGGCGAACTTTGCCATTTTTCCCGAGATAGTTGCATGGCCTTTAATCAAATTATAATAATTTTGACGGGAAACTCCAAAATTACTTATTGATCTGTACGACGATTTCAGCACTACGGAAGGCGGAAGTTTACTATTTATCAATCACAAACTTATTACCTTTTCTCTTAGTTCGACTTCAGACATTCACTCTTCTTTAGAGTCCCGAAAATCGGACTACGTATTGCAGTATTCTTCAAATGTACATATTTCCAGTACAAACAGTGTAGTTCAAGACGCCATGTTTCATGAACTCTCCTTAAACACTACAAAGAATACACTTGCCTTAACTCGTCCAGATTCAAACCGGAGGCCCTGGTCTTCAACACTAGTTATCTTTGACAACTGTGAAACTAAGATTCCAACAGTCAGGAATAGGTAGTGAAATTTTAATTTATGACACACTTGGTCAGCATCGTCTGATCGTTTTTAGACATTATCGACGCAACGTCTTCAATACAATGCGCAAACGTCCTGATCCGGTCTTTGAAAAACCATTAAGTTAGCTGACTCAATATGAAGAAAGATATGAAGTAGTAGGCTCTCTACTATGTGAGCCGCTCAAAATTTAGGGATTAGATATAACAAACGTCCCGCGCTCGCTTCCAGATGTCCATCGTGATTTGGTAGTACCCTGATAAAATGAACTAGACACTCATAAGTCTTAACGTGTGGAGACCGCCTCACATGACGATCAGAAGAAGTACATATCAATGATATTACCGGTGGAAGTGACCTAAACCTCTGGAGCCAATCAACGCACTTTGGAGAATACAGGTGGTCCCGTAATCATGACACGGTGTGTAACATTAACTGAATTAAATAAGAACTTTAATAGGGATTTCGCAGAATGTTTGTTTTATAGCGTCCAGTTTTTGTTAGGTTTCATTTTAGGCAGAAGGCACTTACTGTGCTGAGGTAGTGTGAAAGAGTCTAAAAAACAAAGGAACAAGATGAAGAGCAAACGAACATTTCAGTATACACATAGAATGCACTTAAACCTCATTATATGGAATTGAAATAGTCTAACGAATCATGTAGCTAATCTGAAATAAGCTAGGAATTCGCTGAGACACAAGCATGAGCTCAAATTTTAGGAGAGTAAAATAAAATTTTATTGTATGATTATATCGTTATAACACAACGTAATACCGTTAATTATATGGTAAATGTATTTGCGGCGGTTCACGATCAGACCATTTTGAAGGACGTTCATTATGCAAATTGATTTTTCAAGCATGAATTACGAAATCATCCGTAAAATATCCGACACCATCAAGACCATTGCTTTACGACCTGTAGTATCACAGAAGAAATATTTAATGCGAACGGCGGAAATTGTATCTGAGCCGCCAGAATGAGGCACTGTTAATAGATTAATCAGAGATTTCACCCAATGAGATCTATAAGTGGAAATCATTTATGTCTATCTAAAAAAAACTCTCTGATATTCGTAATTTACACAATATATTCCCAGAGGGACGACTTTGCTGCGATAGAACAATACCAAGCATCGGGTGGTTTGTTTTACCATAAGTACTCTGTATTTTTCCATCTGATTTAGCAGCAACAATGGGAGCAGTCGTGGTGATTAGAAGTAGCTGAATTGATAAGTAAACTGTTAATTTCGAGAAATGGCCGATTCCAGCCTGGTGGAAATCGTTGAATACTACTGGACATATGTGGAATTCGAATCGGGTTCGGTGTAATGTATTCAGGAAGTTTCTATTATCACAAATTCCCCAATAACACAAGTGAGCCACTGAAATGGGATTATTATCCATTTTTATATTTAAACCATTTATACTCAGTCTATGCTTCAAAATGAAAAGCTCCCCCTTACAACCAAGTACACCGGTTTACACAACTACCGTCCTCTTTTACTAATGATATATTGACTATGCCAATGATGAGTAGAAGATGGCCGAAAGATCACTATTTGTAGGTTTTAAATTAATATAATCAAAAAGAAACAATCAGTTTCTCTTAGCAGTAATTGACTCTGTGTTCCCTTTGTCAGCAACAAATGGATGAGGTTTACATGTGTTAGCAATTTTTTAGTGCCATATGACTGTCTATATTGACTCACTCTATCGGGACAGTCAGGGGTCATGTTCGTACGAACCACTGAACAATAAATTTGATCTGGGGATTGAATAATATATTTATTATAAATAAGAAGAGGGTACGTAGAGTGACCAAGTCCGCATAGCCGAGCCACGTGTTATCTGTCGCAAAGGGGCTACTACTACCACTGCTACTCATTATAATCCTACGGTTATTGATAAGCTGAAAGATTATTCCGGAATAAAGCCACAGGAACTGATTGGGAAATATGTTTTATTATTTCAAAGTTTTCAGGTACATTTTCAACACATATACAGTATTTGAGAGTCAAAAGAATTGGGTGGTTTAGTATCAACAATTCACAGTCACCCTAAAAACGATAGTCTTAACCAGGGGACGGCATAAAGGTATGCTACGTGTTCTCGCGCACATGTTATGTGTTATTAAGTATTTTGGATGTTGTTATATATCAGCTATTAACAGCGTTTTTGCCGTCACACGTCAATTTTCGCATTGTTATTGATTGGTTTATGGCTTTTATTGCAGTTTATTAGTAGCTTGACGTAGTTGCTGCCCACAATCTGGGTAAAAGTTTAGTCCGTCTAATGTGGTCAGTTGTATCAACTTAACCTCAAACAAGTGAAATCCACTATTTATCAAGTCAGAAATAGATCACAATCACATTTTACAAAGCGAAAATGAGCTCTAAAACAATTAACATCTAGTTCACTTCGTTACTAAGGTGGTGATGAACACTTGTAAATATAGTGGCTTATTAAGTGTAGGTTGGGGCAGTTTTGCGTCAAACTATCTTTGAACATCGTGTACGTTTCTAGTATATAACCATAAACAGTTCTATCTACAACAAGTATAATCATTTTTGACGGAATTGAGAAGGAAAAATTGTATGAGCAATAATTGACGTTGATAGCCATTTCTGCATACTTCCTGAACACATATAGCAGTCTTTTGAATTGCTGTAATCCAAATATGAGTCTATTAAATAATTGAAATAAATGTATGGTTCATAACACAAGTTATTTTATGTTGAGATTTTACCTGACTATCAGAAGTAGGCGAAGATAAAACAAAGCTAGAACTACCTTGATATGTTAAACCAAAGTATGGAGTTTATATGTGCGATAATAAAACCATACAAACGGTTACAAAGTTAGTTGGGATAGGTAAAGATAGTGCCGTTTACGTAAAGTGTCATGTGAATGAAATGTCCCAAATCAAAAATTTTGGCTGAGCTTCAGCCCATAAGAATAAATACGCATGTATAAATGGTCTAGTCATTTTAAATTATTATTAACCACATGGAATGTCCGCTTTATATTCATATCACTCTCTGAATGTTTGATATGACAGTGTATTATCTCAGATATTTCAAAATACTCGTCATTTTAATGATACTCAAACACTTTTGTTTGAAACAGTCAAATCGAGTCCTTGCTGTGATATCAATTCAAGACATTTGGCGGGTTGGTGGTTTTTTTAATTGTTCTTACTTTGTTTTCTCGTACCATGATGTCCGGTTTATCTATCTTGACTCACTAGGTTTTATCACCCTATTATAGTGCATCCGCAGTTATTCTCCATAGTTTACAAGGAGGAAAACCAGCATGAGTACTTAATAGCCTTCTGACGAACCAATTAAAACCAGATAGTTTCGGCGAGACTATAATTATAAAGACCTTCCCACATTACTGAAACCTACATATAAAACTCCTTCAGAATAATAGGGTAGAAATAGGGTTGTTAATTAGTTTGGGAAGGTGGGAATGGGAGTTTGAGTTAGATTTAGGTGTTACTATTTACGTTCCTGGTTTTCATCACTGAGATCACCTTTGGTGCCAAAATGCTAATTAGTCATCCGGGTAAATTAAGCCTGCGTCAAAGCTTGGAACCCGTTGTCTGATATCTGGTCTGGTTGTCTAAAAGTTATAATCTCATTAATGATTCCTTTACTCTCTCAGTTGATTATTACGGTATGGTTCCAGGTCTTTAGCGTTGTGATGGCTGTTTGTTAGTAACCTTAAGAAGCATCAGCTCTGGAAAACTCATTTTAGAAAGCTAACCCTCAAATTATCAGGCAACTTACAGATTCGGTATGAAGACCGTGTTGTACGTAAACACTCAACTAACGAATTTGTTTTGAATCATTGTCTTCTGTTGCTATTCAGCGTTCTTGTTAGAAACTTCCACACTGTTCCCCTCCGCAACGTGGGTTAAACGTATGCATCTAGGTAATCAATCAATTTAAGGTACCGCCTCGTATAATTTTGCGCATAATTAAGAGTGTAGTTTTAATCCGATTGTATGTTATGATTAGCAAATTGAAGAATAGCTATATTTGTTTGCTAGAACGCTACGACGCAATATGGCAGTAAACACGGCATGATACGTAAGCTAAATCACAAGGAACACTTACCGATGCAAATTGTTTATTAAAGTATTTGATTCGATTCATTGTAACCAGATAGCATTTCTCTCACCTTAATTCCTGTCTCTAAATTCGTCCCGATTTTTTATAAGTTTGCGAACAAATGGGTTGAGAAGCATCATTGCATTATAGCTTATGTCAGTTCTGGATGTGGACCTTTATCCTAATCCGTAATCTTGACATACAACCCTAACATCCAACCCAAACCCTTATACATCATAGCTGATGTTAAATGATGACATGGTTATAACCCTGATTCGAAACACTTCTCAGACTTCTAGTGTGTAAATTCAACCTTTTTCTTCTACTATAATGAATAACTTAACATGTGAAGAGTAATCTATCATTCCAAAACCACTATTCCACTTATTCTATTGCTTTTTACCGTTAATCGTCTTACAACTCGGCGGCGTTTTCCGAGTGGCTGGTAAGTCGCTAAGGGTCGTCGGTATAGTCCACTCTTACCTAACTTGATATTCACTCGTTCCAGCGAGTCCGCTCCTTTAGGACAAAGGCTTTCCCTATTACTCAAGATATACCGACCTGTAAATAGATCTATTCGCCTGGATCAGTGCGGTGAAGTCTTAAGACTACCCACATCGAATAATGAAAGACATGGAACTGTAACTAAACATCAAGACGTAAGTGCCAATAAATTAATTGGTTTGGATTAGGTCGCCAAAACGATAAGTTGGTTACAGTGTGTTTATCGCATTTGGGGCTTAGGCCCGAATTCACAAGTAACGCGTACAGGGATAACCGGATTTCCGAGACAATTTTGCACATTTTGTTACTTTGGCTATCACTGGTAAGATTATGATCCTTCCGGTGTAAATAACTTTCATTTACCATCCTTGGTAGGAAGTAGACGAAACAGTCGCCCACACCATTGACTTTCTACTAACATTTTAACTAGTTTCAGCACAATGTGGGAAAAATTAACAGCTACTGTTAGACATTGCTACCAGTGTATGAAAGAAATCTGTACAAGACTGACTTCTGTTTCCTTTCACAACTCAGGTTGGGGCCCCGGACATGATACGACTCAGCGGTTTGGGACATTATCCGACGCTGTTCGGAATAGAAGCCAGTGGGGGTCCTTACATGATCATTTTTTACTTTGCAAAAGTGAGAGGAACTATGAATGAAAGAAAAACCAGACGAAGACGCCACAGAGTCCTCTGATCAACGCACAGTAAACATGCTTTTCAGGGCAACAGATGAAGATCGAACTTGTAGTATTTCACTAGTCTTGTATAGACAACAGACATCTATGTTGAGACTTTCTAAGGATATAGTCAACTCTATCTGTTGTCCGATTTGCATTAGTGTGGGAAGGTTGAGGGAGGCCAGTTCGAATGGCATACGTGGTTTCAGAAAGGCTGGTTCGGAATTCTTAGTGATAGCATTCGACTTTCGACCAGTCAGTGACTTGAAATCGTTTAAATAAAGCAAGATTTCTACCATAGGTGACCTGCTTTGAGTTGCAAAATAAAGCAGCGGACAAGTGACTCAATGTAAAGTAAAAATGAGTATTAACAAGTAGTCTTGAGTATGACTTGCGAAATTAAGAATTAAAGCGCGAATGGTTTTTCTGATTGTGGTCAGAAGACTGCATTGTGTCAGCATCAATCAGAACTATATTATCGAGGTATTCCAAGTCAACAAGTGAATCTCTTGATAGGAAAACTCCTGAAAAGGTAAGCAATCAAAGTGTTACTTCTAATAACATGTCAATGACAAGTTGGATAAAAATGGAAGAAGCAGATGACCCTGATAGTTCTTCACAAGCTCTGACTCAACTAGAAATGTTCGAGAAGAGAGCCTGTATGATGTTAATGTACTTCTTTGGGATGTCTTTCAATGATAGACACCGCCACAGAACCTCACGATCTTCGTAGTTGAACTCCGTATTAAGGTCAAGAAATATAACTATAATCGGACATCGAAAAGTATGTCTGTTTCAGAACCTGGTGAAGGGTGAATACTCGGTCTATACATAATCGTTTACGTCTGAAACCAGCCTGGTTTTCTCGGGTTTGCTCCTCACGAGCTCTAATTAGACGTCGAAGTATTAACGAGGCTAATATTTTAGACATCTTAGTTAAACAGATTCCTCTGTGATTGTCACAAAACGATTTTTGTCCCTTCTTATAAACTGAGATGATCAGCGATCGAGACCAGTCAGATGAGATTTCATGCAGTTCTCAGGTTCTAGCTAAGATTTCAGTTAACTTAACCGGTAAAGCTGGACTAACATCCCTAAAGATCTGAGGACTTAATCCATCAGGCTCTGATGCTCTCTTGGGTCGGATCATCTACAGCCTTTACAATTTCACCAAGAGTTGAAAAACTTATATTAATTTTCCATTGATATTGCTTTGTAATAGTGTGTAACCGACATGTGACTGTAGGCCGCTAAGGCATTCGGCTGATTGTTCCGACCTCCTGAATTGAAAGTGAATAGCAGTATAATTATTTTCCAGGATAGTCTCACCAACAGTCAGATTTTTGATGCCCGTTTGCATGATAAACCTTAACAGTTAACTATTTTAACCTATCACCGCTGCCTACCATCTCTACTGCCTTCGCTACTGACCGCTCCCCACGATCATTGAGTAGGCTTTTTGTCACCCTAAGTCTAAGCTGCCTCTGTTTCTCATCGTGTTCAAAGCCGGACGAGGTGATTTACCGAGCGTATATCGGTTTAGTAGATCCCGCCAAAATCCACTGATTTTTCCTAACCTTTAGGTTTAAGTTACGAGTCAGTCAGTCAGTAACAACGTAGAACTTCGTACGTACGTACGTACATCAGTTCGAGTTGCCACACCACATTAGCACAGAGAAAGTTACGAGACTATTAGAGATTGTTATAGATGCAAAAGAAGTGAAGTTAGATAAATCAATGCCGCATTTTGAGCCACTTGACGTAAGGTTCAAACATAGAGCGATGCAGCACGTCGTTTAGAGCGCTTTTTTAAGAGACTGAAAGTAACATTTTTTGTACTCGCATAGTTAGCATTAGTGGCGCATGAGGATTGAGTCATTAGAGAGGAGGGTAGGTGGTGAGAAGCTTATGATGTGTTAGCTCTGTACTCCAAAAGATCTTGCGTTCGGAGTCGAAGAGTTGTGTAATAAGGTAAGCTTGGTCTTTTTAGGACCGACCTTTCCCAAACCATTCATTTCGTTGTGAGAAGGCAGCATCACTCTAAGTGCTGGTTGTCTAAAGGAAACAACTTACTATCGTCACACCTCAGCAGTCGGCAGCACGACCTCTTCGAACCATAGGTTTGCCGCTTTTAGACTTACTGTTCCCCAACCAACCTACTTGACGTGGTAGGACCTAAAGGAGTAACTGTTCCACACAATATAGCTCGATTGGGTCACTACGATAGGCAAGCCTCACTACAACGTCAATATAGTGGCTACGGTGGGGTGTTCATTGAAGAACAATACATATATAGCTTTCATTCAGTTTATAGGTTTATTTTAAGGTTTATGAACAATAACGGTTGTTTATGGCTGATTTGAAGTCCCAACTTAAACTGGTCCTATGTCCTATATGTGTTGACGATGTACAATCTTTAACCACAACCTATAAGAAGTAAATCAATATCAATTAGATCGGAATTGTGTTACAGCAAATTATTTAGTGTGAACATCATACATGGAATTTCAATACCTTTACAATGGTTTGTGTCAATGACAAATACTTTAAATATTCTATTCATTTTTTCTTGGCATGCAACTAGTTCAAAATCAAAAACTTCATCTGTAAAACTTGTATTTTTACTTAGTGGGGAGGAGAAAGAAGAGGATTAAAGTCATTTTGTTCACGGTATTGAAGTTGGAGTCCCGAATTATTAGCACAGTACACAAACGCATCAACGTGCTTGCTTATTTAAAATTTTTACAAGTGTTCTGAACTCCATGGAGAGTCAAGAGCGACCAACTTAACCAAATTAAAAACCTCTAGATCGAATGATAACTTATTATTTCAACTCTTCGAAAAAGGTGACTAGATGTTTGTAAAATGGATGACGCTGTCGTAACACTGTAAAATAGCCCGGTCCATCCAATTTATTAAATTATTACTGTCGTATGGTAGTTGCTTTTGATACCGGTGAATAATGAATCCTTTTAAAAATTGCGAACTTTTGTGTAAATTTTTGTTTAAGATTGGTCATGTCAGTTGAGTTACCTGAAGCTAAAGCTGATACTCTCCAAGAAGTCTTCTCAGACAAGTTCCAGTATATCAATCTAGATCATTATAATATTTATCATTTCGAGGAAATTTTGATTGATGGTCGACGATATCAATTCCGATTATCTTCAAAAGGTGATTTAATGACAGTGGTCACTCATATAGCTGGAAGAGCTGTTCTTTTGGTATCTGTATGGACAAATATGGATTATGAGAAACGTTTACGTGAAATCCATCAGCACATTTTAGAAATGGAACGTACTGGGACTATTCCTATCGATTTTCGAGGTATTACTGATTTTAATTTTTCACATTGCAAAATATATGGAGTCGATTATTTTTAATGAATTCGTTTCCAATCGTTCCTGGTATTCTCAATATTAAATGTTAAACATTATTTACATTTATCAGGTAGTTAAGCTATTGTTTCTGTCACCTGATGTATCGTCTCTCAGTTTACTATTTATTGAATTTACCGAGTCTCATGCGTCAACTCTCACACTCTTTTCACTACCGATTTGAATCGTGAATAAAAGTAAACCCAACACTTGTATGTTCCAATCTGACTCATTTGAAAACATGTTCTGAATTAGAATTCTCATTTTCCACAAACGGTATTTGAAAATCGTTCATATGAATTGGAATTAGTGTATAAATAATGTAATTGTTCTTTAATTTACACAACATACCTACTTAATAACCAAACTAAGGTCACGAAAATTTGGGTTATGCTAATCGTATACCGTTCAGAATACGCTCCATTTGTGACAGTATACTTATCCCATATTCGTCTAAATTGTTGAAAACATCTCTGGAGCAACTTAAAAGCCATACATTTCTGTTACATCGTCTTTCACACTTTATTGTTCGTATCATACCATTGTTGCTCTCACATAACCATTTTGAATTTCGTGGATCAAAAGAAATTACACGGAACTCAGTCTAGCTAGTAATAAAGATTATCTGACGTGATGAATTGAATCAATTATTGGACAGCAACTCACGAACAATCACTTACGAATGTGCAGGTGCATTGTTGTAATTGAATAGTCATCTATCAGCATCGCACAAATCCTATCTAACTTTAAGGTGTTGAGAATTTTTACATAAGGACAACATTTTCGGACGAGTGTGTTTGCAGATATCGAAATAAATTTTATAGTAGTTTCACTTTATTTAGTATTGTACGTACTTCGCATATTATGTTCGATGGATTTAAGTGACCATGTGTCTGATTCAACCATTACTCCACTGAGCTGTCATATAATAGGAAATGATTACTAACCATGTGTTTTAATGAGATCTATCTCAGTAACCACTTACAAGTTGGTATATTCAACTTAAAGCCATACTTTTATGTAAGGTCTAATGATACCTGCTATTTGAGTGTCTAAATTAGAGCTGGATCAGCTTTTAAACCAATCACTTCAATAATAATTAAAATATACTGTTATTAGTCATTTACCGACTGTAAACAGAAAAACATTGATAAAGATATTTTTTTTTGTAAATAAATTGGTCGTTTTGACACAAATTATTATTTTGATATTTTATTTAATAAGACATACACGAACGGAAAAATGATCGATTTTCGAAAATTAGTGTATATTTTCATTACCCCCCAAATACTCTGGTACGGGCGAAAGTGTGGAGAGTCAGCTCTCCCTCTCGAAATACTCCCACATGGCCACTTGCATACAAGTACTGTCAGGGAAGTCCTACTCACTGCCTTCTCGTGGTGAGGGTGTTGTTTACGAAATTGGGAGGACAAAAATCTACTGACCAGAGCTTTAACCAGGTTGTTGGACACAGAGAGTCCACCTAGGGGAGTTGGAAAACCCTGACTCAAAACCAATGGTGCACATAGACTCCAGGACCCTAAGGAAACAAATAGCATATGAACCAATCGTTGGTCACCGGCTACCATGGGACTGCATCTCCTGACGTTGCTTCACTGCCTTATGGATCATAGTTTAGGTCGAAGGCTCTGGGTGTGGCTGCCTAAGGAAACCACGTGCTTCGGTTTGTCACCTGAGCAGTATCTCAGCTCTCACACGAATCGAATGATTTATGTGGAGCATACCTATTTGGTGCCTCCTTGTACCAATATTTATGTGTTTAAATTAATAATAAATCATTAGATATCATTATTTGTCAACTAACCTAGTTCACAAATTCACAATGGAAAATCATAAATGGATCTGAAATATAAGTATATACGCTACACATTTCAATGTGAACCAATTCAAAGCACACGTTTGTAAGGAAGGGATACAAAAAATGACACAGGCTTAGTAAATAATATAATTAGTGAGTACCGTATTTTTTGATCACATATACAAATAGCAGTTTGATTAAATTCACCTTTCATTATAGACCCAGGAAAATTGAAAGGTCTTCGTGAGAAAATATTCAGATAGATCTAGTCAACCAAACCTATTGATCCGTTACATTTGATGAGGTAATTTTTATGATTCTGTTAACTAGTAGACTGATCAACAACTAGATGAACACAAAAATTTTCACTTAAAAATAATCTGAGACTTAATTTTTTTATTGTATTCCGATTCAAATTAATAGTGTAGCTTATTAATACCTTTGAAAAAGTATATGTTCGAGTTTTTTGAATACGTAATGTAGATTACTTCATAGGTATTTTTCTTCTCAATTGTGAGATAGTTCATTCTTAACATGTTTCAAGAATTACATAGTTATGATGTAAGTAGGTCATTTAAAATCATATAAAGTATCATAAGTTGGTTAGTTCAATCTCTTGTTATTGTATAATAGGTTGGATTCGCTGTGACTAATTTATTGTTTAAATTAATTGAACATATTCATTCGAATACATGGTGGATTATCAAAATATATACTACTTAATTTATGGTTATGTATACGTATACATTTGAGTAAAATATATGAAGGTGAAGAAAACATAACTTTCTCCCATATTATTTTTGTCTTTAGTTTTATAAATTAAGAAGGTACGTATTATTTAAATTCACTTGGTATTATTTATTTGAATCTTCCCATCACTGTTTAGGACTGCAATTTGCATATGTGCGTACTGTGCGTATTGCCTCGATATTGCCTTAATTCACAAGCATTATAAGCAAAGATGGCGTTTGGAGCGAACGGTACTGTATTCGAGTCCCAGAGTGAACATCAACTCTGGGATGCAAGTACATCCAACTGACGAGTCCCAGATAAGCCGAAACGTGCGTCCTGGATTCCACTGCTAGCCACTATCCATCTTTGCTTATAATGTACGTATTGTTTGTTTCAATACTTTTTAGTACGGATATAGTACACTTTTCTCTTCATTATGAGCATTCAGATTGCATATCTAGTTTACTTATAGGGTGTATAATGTAATATGACACCATATATTCCAACTCAATATCCATAATTTGACGTAAGATTATATGATGCTATCTTTTCACAATAGGATAGTATGCTGTGTTGAAAAAATCACAGTATGTAGTTTAAGTTTGAAATTTTCTTAAATTTTTCAACTTTTCAAAGTTGTTGATAAATCCCAATCTCATGATGATGCATTTATCTCACTGTTCATCTTGGTAAAAAAATTTTCCCATAAAATCAATATTGATATAGGTCGAAAATTTCGTCCTGGTCAGTTAAATAATCGGTTGATAATTTAAACATGATTTCCTATGGACAAAAATAGATTCAGCTGGCAAAAAAAAGTGGATTGATTTCAAAACGTTCACATGTTCCAGGTGTTACAGTTTTCTGCATTAACGGTTGCCATTGCCTCACATAGAACGGGTCGCTTGTATCTAAAAAAATGAGTAGATTTCCGGTAGCTGGTCAAGTGTTGGTCTCACTGTTGTCTATCAGTATCTAGATATTGACAGATGTATCATCAATAATAACACTATCACTGAAACTTTAAGATTTGTAAGTTGTTCTGTAAATAGGGTCAAGTGTTTGTGTTATGATCATGGACATTCAATTCAGATAAACACGCTTCCCATACAATTACCCAACAAGCTATGCAAGTGAGGAGACTGAAATGACTAGGATGATTTAATGGACAAAAACTGAATAAACTTGTTCGAAAGCTATTGGTATTAATGTATGTGTCCTTCTAACTCAGATAAGAATATCCAGCATAAGACCTTGACTAGAAGCACAATCACTGTCCCTTAATAGCGTGCCTCGCTTATGACTTCTCACGTACCTCTTAGCTTTGAGACATAGGGAAATAATATGTCTAGACCCACTCACCCAGCCTGCTAGCGCGCTGTCAAGGATTCTTAGATAAATAGTTGAAACTTTCACCCAATTCTCACATGCTTACATAAAATCGTCAGGTGATATTATTATTCTTAAACAAATTTACTCGTAAACTAATTCAATTTTCTGAAATAGTTTATTCTTCCGACTAGCAACCGCTAGTTCTCAAGTTTGAATCTCATTCCACTTACCTTTGTACAACTAAACTGTAACTCCACCATTTACATATATTTGTATACTTACCAAGTGGATTATAAAGAAATAGTTTATTTCATCAGTGAGTAGCGATTCGGATTACTCGTGTTTGTACGTCATATATATCTTATGAAAATGCAATCGGAAGGTTGTATTATATTCATATTTGTTTACCTCCTTTTAGGTATGCTTGGTCGAGGAGGTGGAGGAAATGAACAAACGGTATCATAATTCTTAACTTGTCTCACTCTCTCTCTCTCCTATATATATATATATATATATATATATATATATATATATATATATATATATATATATATTCAGTGTATTTAAACTGTGTCGTGCACTTTTTTAAAAAAAATTATATTTCCTTGTCTTGTACATATGTATATTTCGAGAAATACGATCTTTCGTTATAAAAATGTTATTTTTCTTTTATACCTTATGTAATATGATTGCATAGTTACTTAGTTTTAGTGAGATTGTCTCAGATTCATTTCCTTTATCTTGCCCCATATCGTACGTTGTGGTATTTCTTCATATATATACACAAATAGTTTTTCATCCTGTCTATTTGAGATATCCGTCTATCAATTAAGGGACGAGTATACTGCACAGCAGTTCGTTATGTTCTACTTCACGACTGCAAAACGTGGCCATTAATAGCAGAAGATACTCGTAAACTACTAGCATTTGATCACAGTTGTCTTAGAAATATTGCTTGCATCTGCTGGGATCACCGGGCAAGTAATATTGAGGTTGGACTCAGGTTATTAGAGAATGATGGTAAATCAGTTGACGAGGTTGTGAATCTTCATCGACTGAGATGGTTGGGTCACGTGTTGTGTATGCCTACCAGAACACCGATTACCACGACGCGCAACACTGATTAGTGTTGGCGATTGTTGGAAGAATGTTAGGGGTGGCCAAACCACAACGTGGTATCATTTCAAAAAGTCACTAACTTGTGGTGTGAGCCATGTGGATGGTGGATGCAGACTGCTGTGTTGGAGTCCGTGTGACTATCATAACCAATGGTTGGAGACTGTGTGTGTGTGTGTGCGTGTGTGTGTGACATGGCTGAGAATCGATTACAATGGTGTCGGTGTATACACTCTCTGTCTTCCCTTAAACTATGAGATTAAAATTGCTTCATATCTTTGTCTTATAAATTACCATCATTGAATTGATTACTTCTATGAATCTGGTATTCATCTTGTTGTGCTAATGAGCGGGGTGTGGCAACTTGGACCGATGCATATATGTTCCTGGTCCTATATTATAGCTGACTACTGAATATTGAACGAAAACCAGTAGGATCACGATGTTGATTATTTGACTGAATATCCAGCAAATGAATAATATCAAATTGAAATATGAGTCAACTAATTCGATTAAAATGTATAGAATGTTCAAAACAATCGACACACTAATCTGTAGATACGGTTTAGTTTTGATATAAAGGGGATCTTATTCAATAAAAGCACTAAAGCATTTCAAAGTGCATCAACTGTGTTGTTTGTTTTAATTCTGTTTTGTTTTGGTTTTTTGGAGTTCTTAGGAATAACTTTTCGATGATAGCAAAAGTATCGTCAACATATTTGAGCCAAATTCCTCGTGTAATATCATAGGCAAAATATTTGACATGAACAGGTAAGTTACAATCAAGGACAAAACTATTGTAATTACAATAGTAGTCATGAACATAAAAAATTATGACACAACCTTTAAGTATCTATCCGCAGGACTCAATGATAAATGCCTAGACTTTATCAGTGGTTTACCATGGATTGATACCTTAGTTCTACCATACCGCCATGGTACAACTGAAGAACCTCAAAGAATCCCAAAATAACATGGAATTATAGCATACTACAAAACAACTGATACTTTTTGAGATGCTTTGTTTCGTATAAAGGATATGATTCTTTTTATGACACGTAACTGTGGCTACAAATTCGAGTATTTTGATTATGTTGCTTTGTATGTTAGAGTTTCATCAGGTGAAATCCTAACTCATGTTAAAGAACAGCAAAGCTACACAAATAAATCATCTGATAATCCTGTAGAACCTAAAAGGCTCCAAATTAGATCAGCCATGAAAGTGGAGGGCATCTTCAATAACCATCAAATCGATACTAAAAATATCAAGATAATACCAAAAAAGCTTTCGCAACTACAAAGAAAGGCGAACAGCTAAACCTTTCCATATATTGCTAAATCCTACTCCCATTAATAGAATTAAAGCCATTACTATCCATTTGACTTGAATCATCTATCCGAGCTATGTCTGATGCTATTCACATCACACCATTATCATACCAATCCAAGTCTACCATTTCACATTACAAATGTCAAATTTACCACTCATTAACGCACACACGAACATGTCTCATTTAAGCTACTTTGACCGGAGTGGTATGGTATTGACTGGGTCAGACCTGTTTCTTTGATTGATTTTACCAAGTACTTTTGCCTTGTACTGTCTAAACGTGTATTAATTTGGTTCCTGAAGTAGCGGCTTACAATGAGTCACGAAACGTCAGGAAATTTAGTTTTTATGCCCAGTGGTATGTTACAAATATGATATTTTTACTATTTTCAACCAGTAGGTTCCAGACTCGAGCCTACTTACTTCAGTAGTATCACTAAACCTTATACGGAAAACGTGACTGGAAGTAAAATTATTCTCATTGACTAGCGGCAAATTGTGAATCGAAGAATTTACCCTTAGCTAGTATCTTATTGAGCCAAAAATCCCTAAAGTCTTAGATGGCTTTAACTGAAACTGTGCAATTGAATAAAGCCATTAATAATAATGATAATAATAATAATCCTAGTACTGAGTTTACGTAACTAAAGTTATGGCTGAAACTTATTAATAAATGCTAAAAAGCCTATCGGGTATAGTAATGACACAATAACTGCTACCCTATACATTTTAAAGTGCATATAACTCACTAGAATAACATCCAAGGAAACCTCACTATTGATATAGATTCGTTCATAAAATAGTAAAATGCCTTTTAGTGTGTGATCCTTAAAGTGATTAACACATCCATCAGAGTTTAGCAAATTAAGTCTTATTCATAATGAAATCGTTGACTAACAAAAGGTCCGATACATTTTTTCGCTATGGCTTTTAGTACTTTCGACTTTTACCAAAATACCTCTTTAATTTTAGGGTTAATTTAGCTGAAACTTGAATCTGATAATACGACATATTCAAACAAGTTTTCATTGGGTCATCCAATTTTTGACCTACCTCCTATTTCTTTTATCCTGATATTCTCTCAAGAAACCCAAACCCCTTTCATCTACCAATATTCATACCATTAAGGGTACAACTCACGACAAGACAGAATTTACAGATTATTTTATAGCATATTATTACCAAACCATTGTAGTTTTCGTGTGGGTTATTATTCTGGGTTTTGTAGTGAACGAGAACACAAGTGGGGACCATTGAATGTATTTAAACACAAAATTACAGAATCTCTTAATAAAATCCGAGAACCATATAGTAAATACTTAATTTGCAAAATGTCGATCAATTGTCTCAAACCTGACTGTCCCTTTTGCAAATATCAGACAGCCGTCTCAGACTTCATTGTTCTGTCTTTCCCACATTAATCATTCTTTGTTCTCGTCCTTTTTTCTTTGATCTTAACTTTCTTCCTCCAGGTATTCCACTTTCAATTGATGATACACACTACTTACATCTGTCGACATCAGTAGCACACACCGCAGTTTATGTGACACATCTAATTAGATACTTGGTGTGTAGTATATCAAATTGATTGTCATTAACTGACAACAACCATAATTCAGTCAATTTTCACTACTGAGTAGTCTCAAAGCATGTCAAGATAGTCGTTAATTTTCTAGCTTTCGTTGAATTCAAAAAGAGTACTTAATCCCTGCATCGAAGCACCATTGTGTAAAACTTATAGATTATTTCTGAGTATGCGTCACAGACCGCGATCTTACTCCAGTTTTTTTGTTATAACGGTCAATTTGTAGCAGCACCTTTAGATCTCGTATAGTCAGGTTTAAGACCCAATACGTTGATGGTTATATGATTACTAAGTTGGATTTATTATATTATATATTAACTTATTTAGAAATGCTACCTAGGCAATCTGACAAGTAAGTGTTTATATTAAGTTCCATAGACTAGTAGCTTTTAGTAATTTGACACCAAGTGCGTCTTCGCTGAGTTAGTCTGGTTTTTATATTCATTGTTATGATTTGGTTAGGCTAAATAATGTGACTTTTGGCAACGTACCGATAGTTTCATCAAGAATCAGATATGGGTAACTAAAAGTTCCATCGACAAAATTGTAGATTGGGATAAAGTCATTTACAAATTATGTGATATAAAACGTCTATATTTATCTTTCGCCAGTCGATCGCATTTTAGACTGTCTAGACATTATAGATACAGCATGTACCTCTTCTAAGATTACTGCCGATCTCAAGCACGGGTAAAGGAGAAGGGTTGGGCATGGGGTCGGTGATCCCATTCTGTGGAAAACAACCTTTTTAAAAAACACTGACCGGAATATATAGTTTAAACTCTGCCCTGGGAGTTCAACGATCTTCATTCACAAGAATTATGATGCATAATGAAATCCGGGATTCTTCTGAAGCCACTAGTTCGATGTTCCTTCTAACAACCAGAGCAAAATTTTTATAGGTACATAGGACGTTCGGACAATGGGGGAGACCGAGAGGACCAGTGAAACCAATGGAAATGAGGAGATATAACTTGACGGTTCTCGGAATCAGCGAAACCCAAGCTGAACGACAAAGTTTAGGTACGGGAGAGATGCTGATTTACTTCGGTCACGAAGAGGAGAGTGCTCCACACTCAGGGAGTTGCTCTGATGCTATCCAAAGAAGCACGAAATGCACTTGCTAGGTGGGAATCTTAGGGATCCAGGATCATCAAAGCACCCTTCAAAACAATGAAGGAAGGAATTACAATGTATATTACTCAATGTTATGCACCCACCACTGATAGCAATGATGACGATAATGATCAGTTCTACGAGAGGTTGAAAGCGATCACGGAGAAGTGCCCAGGAAAAAACCTGACCATTCTGATGGGAGATCTTAACGCCAAAGTCTGAATGGACAACAACAGATATGAAGATATCATGGAACGATATAGACTGGTTGAGAGGAACGAAAATGGGAAGAGATTTGCAAACCTATGTGCATTCAACAAATTTGTTATAGGCGGCACAATTTTCCCACACAAATGCATATACAAAGCTACCAGGGTATCACCGGACTGCACCACGGAGAAACAGATCATATTTGTATTAATAAAAAAATTCACAAGGTCAACAGGAGACGTGAAAATCAGGAGAGAAGTTGACATAGCTTTAGATCACCACCACCAGGTGGTGGCCAAGATGAAAATGAAGAAAAGAAACACTGAACAGTTATGGAAACAGCATTACAGAGGTTCAATACAGCCTTCCTACGAGAAACTTACAAACTCAATGAATTCAAGGTAGCTGTCAACAACAGGTTCCAAGCCTTACAGGATCTTAACGGAAAAGAAACTTCTATGGAGGACAAGTAGAGAGGGGTCAAATAGGCATCATAATAAAGAATGAATCTTCATCGAAACACTAGACAAGATTCTAGAAAGGAAGGAGATGAATACAGCAATTAAGGACAATAGAACAAGAACAGAGAAAGTCAAGGCACAAGCTGAATGCACAGAAGCAAACAAGCAAATGAAAAGGAGCATTAGAGCTAACAAACAGAAATACGTGGAAGAGCTAGCAACGACAGTGGAAATAGCTACAAGAGGAGGAAATATGAGACAACTATATGACACGACGAAGAAACTGGCAGGGAAATTTAGTAAACTAGAGAGACCGATAAAGAAGGCAAGGCAAAGTTCAAGGACAGGGGAACAGGTGGATGGAGAGAAGCATCATCAAGAAGTATAGAGGATCGGATGCAAACGTCAAGACGAGGATTGGCAAAGCAAGGGCAGCATCCCTATAGTCAAAGAACTATTGGAACCCAAAACAACTGTCAATCAATATCAAAGTTTATTTATTTATTTATTTAAACACAAATATTGGTACAAGGAGGCACCAAATAGGTATGCTCCACATAAATCATTCGATTCGTGTGAGAGCTGAGATACTGCTCAGGTGACAAACCGAAGCAGGTGGTTTCCTTAGGCAGCCACACCCAGAGCCTTCGACCTAAACTATGATCCATAAGGCAGTGGAGCAACGTCAGGAGATGCAGTCCCATGGTAGCCGGTGACCAACGATTAGTTCATACGCTATTTGTTTCCTTAGGGTCCTGGAGTCTATGTGCACCATTGGTTTTGAGTCAGGGTTTTCCAACTCCCCTAGGTGGACTCTCTGTGTCCACCAACACGGCTAATGCTCCTTTTAACAACTAGAGCAACAATTAATATAGTTTATTGGTGGGCGGCCTATGCTCCTACACTCTAGTTAACAGGCGTAAGCAAGTCAGTAAGTATTCAGGAGAAAAGTAATGATATCGTGTTGCTGCAATTAACAAATACTTTTGTTCGTCTTTTCAGTTGCTCTATCCGTTTTTAATATTTCGGTTTGTTAGGTATTATTTTGAAGCGACTATAGACTAATTTTGTTTTGAAAAATTTTATTCGGCTACGTTTATAGAAACGTTCTGATTATAAGTATTCTACTAATATTGTACTACAATATATTAGCGTACAGGATTTACAAGCAGAATTTAATCTATTCACTGTCGGAATCATTGAATATTATGGGTTTAACAATGTTTGGGTGTAATACGATTAGAAGATTCCTATTAATAAAGATGCTAATCTCATTAATAAGTAATGCTGTCTTTAAACGCCATTTATATGATGTTTGTGAAAGCGAAAATCAATAATCCACTTAAGTCGGAAGTCCGCAGTTCGAAGTGATCGAGGTATATATTGCGTCAGGTAAAACTAAATAAACTGAAGGGTTGCTTACCCAACCATTATAAATCAAATAAATATCCGAACTGGTATAAAGGTAGCTCAAATAAACAATATATACTACAAAAGGTTTTAATAGAAAACAGTTAATATTGTCTAAATATGCTCTCCATCACAGTACTACCCAAATCCACAAATTTCTCGATAACTTCTAGTGGTTCACTCCTGATAGATTACTGAATTCCTAGACTTCTTCTAATCTCTTTTTCACTTAATGCGGCATACATACTGGTTTAAGAATGAAAGATAGCTATTCTGATTCATCAGTCGGTATTAATTCTTCTATTTGATGAAGTGCTGTTGAGTTTGTATATATTTCATCAATATTTGTGGAAAAAAATGATTCATAGTAAGCCCTCAGGCTTCTCTCTCACTCGCAAATGTTGAATTAAATTCATCATGATAGCACTATTACTTTCAAGAAACTTCTATAACGTGCTGCTGGTTATATTTGTCCACTAGCTATAACCAAGGCTATTATCGGTCAACAGTCTTTGTTCTCTCTAAAATATGAGTGTAAGCAACCTCTGGTTGTATTTAACTGACCAATCGATAAGCCAACAGGTATTCTTCTGCTATCAATGTCGGTTTCAAAGGTGACGAAAACCTCAGTTGATAGATAAGGAAAAATCATTTAATTAGGTAAAAGAAGTATACTGAGAAACTTGAATATTGAAAAGTTTACTGATATTCTTTTCTGAAAAAAACTCAACTGTAGTTTAGTAGTGGTTTAGTGAACGAGAACACCAGTGGGGACAAGCAAATATATTCGACTACAAAATTACAGAATATCTTAGTCATATCTGAGAATCATACATAAATACTTAATTTGCAAAATGTCAATCAATTGTCTCAGACTTCATAGTTCATTCATTTCCATACCAATCATTCTGTGATCTCATTCTCTTTTCCTCGATTTTCTTAACCTTCTACCTCCAAGCATTTCACTTTCAATTGATACATACTACTTACGTCTGTCGACATTAGTAGTGCACACTACAGTAGTAGCTTGATATAGTTTTTAAATTGCTTACTGGTAATTAAAAAATTGCTCTAATTATTTACATACTACTGAACATATTTTAGTACAGGATAAAACACTGTATACTGACTGGATTGTAGTCAATTTTTCCTGAATTCCATGTTAGTCTTGACAACCTTACTGTAATTTGTTGACGTGGTTATAGTTCACTGAGAAGTGACCAGTGTTATGTTTGTCTAGACCTTTATTGTAGATCGAGTTCTATTAATAAAGTTACAATGTAGTCACTGTTACTAGTGATTTGACATTGCATTCACTATTTCGAGATGCTGGGTGGTTGGATGTAGTCAGTAGAAAAATCTGGACTCAAACTCCGTGCTAGTGAGCACTCGTCAGTAAGGAGAACCTTCAGTTTCGAGGATGTTATGATAAAGCCCTAATGGCTTAGTGTCTGACGAAATCTCAGCACGGATTCAAAAAGCTCGTTTGGATTTTGCCAACTTACGTCACCTATGGCGAAGGCGAGATATCCGTCTATCAATTAAGGGACGAGTATACTGCACAGCAGTTCGTTATGTTCTACTTCACGACTGCAAAACGTGGCCATTAATAGCAGAAGATACGCGTAAACTACTAGTATTTGATCACAGATGTCTTAGAAATATTGCTTGCATCTGCTGGGATCACCTGGCAAGTAATATTGAGGTTGGACTCAGGTTATTAGAGAATGATGGTAAATCAGTTGACGAGGTTGTGAATCTTCATCGACTGAGATGGTTGGGTCACGTGTTGTGCATGCCTGTCTGAACACCGATTACCACGACGCGCAACGCTGATTAGTGTTGGCGATTGTTGGAAGAATGTTAGGGGTGGCCAAACCACAACGTGGTATCATTTCAAGAAGTCACTAACTTGTGGTGTGAGCCATGTGGATGGTGGATGCAGACTGCTGTGTTGGAGTCCGTGTGACTATCATAACCAAAGGTTGGAGACTGTGTGTGTGTGTGCGTGTGTGTGTGACATGGCTGAGAATCGATTACAATGGTGTCGGTGTATACACTCTCTGTCTTCCCTTAAACTATGAGATTAAAATTGCTTCATATCTTTCTCTTATAAATTACCATCATTGAATTGATTACTTCTATGAATCTGGTGTTCATCTTGTTGTGCTAATGAGTGGGGTGTGGCAACTTGGACCGATGCATATATATTCCTGGTCCTATATTATAGCTGACTACTGAATATTGAACGAAAACCAGAAGGATCACGATGTCGATTATTTGACTGAATACCCAACAAATGAATAATATCAAATTGAAATATGAGTCAACTAATTCGATTAAAATGTTCAGAATTATACTTTAAATCTTTTCGGTTTGATCTATTTATATGATGATTCACTTAATTCAATGTGTATTCATATCTATTACAGGTAGGTAAATTTATACCAAGTAGTTGGTTGTTAACTTATGCAAATCTTAATCAGCATTAATTACGACTAGTAATAATGAGACAGTTACGTGTATATGGTAAAGGAATGTTAATATATCGTTCATATTATTGGACTGATGTTTACAAGAAAGCTATAGCGGTAAGTCAGTTGAATATATTTATTTGAATCGAATAGAGAAGTTTCAGATTTTGTTTGAAGATACCTTGATATCTTTAATTGATGAATCTGGCAATTTCTTGATGAAGTCAAGTTGGCGAGACTATACTTTATGGATGAACCCATCAGATTTAGGAGAACAAGTCTTAGATTTGGGCGCGAAATTCATTCACCCATTCAGTTAAATAGAGTTTTGGCATTATAGCTGATGTCAGTTCGTAATGAAAAACCTTAAATGTAATTCCTAACCCTAGCCATCAACTGTAAATCATCATCCTTATTCTTCAGACTGCTTTATAACTCTTATTTAACCCTAGTAAGTAGGTAGACGCTCTCAAGGTCACTTCAGCATCTCTCAAAGGTCGTCCATAAATTATAGTCTCACCTTTATTTATTTAAGTACATAATTATTTGTACAGATCGCCACAAAAACAAATATGAACTACACAAATAAGAACATAAAACTGTTAAGTCAAGCACTGTTATGTTTTCTATCGAAAGGCCAAATAATGTCTTCGTATCTGGTTCCCATAATCCAAACTACTTCTACACAGCAATTAAAAGAATGAAGAGAAGGCGCAAACTGTGAGTAAAAGCTGTAATCCATGGTTATTTCATATACAGAAAAATGGGGATGTTTCTAGATTTATACTCGACTGGAACTTCTAGAAATTTCAGAAGCTATACTAAATATAGTAACAGTATAGTTAAATATTCAATTATAACCGTGGCACGTCATTCTTTATTTCTCTGGTCGCATAACACATTTCTTGGCGCTTCTGGGCCTTTGATTAAAGACCCTTTAGGAGATCCAAACAACCACACAGTTCACATTAAACGAACTATGATTGTTTTCTGTACGCTTAGCAACAAGTTTTGGGGTTATAACTATAAATACGATATGATATGATTTTAAAACCATTTTATGAAAAAAAGTTTCGGAAACTGTTATGCTATAATCCATTTGTGTATTGTTTGTTTGAATTTTCTCATTGATGTTTAGGACTGCAATCGATCAGTCTCTTATTGGCATATGCACATCTTGTGAGGATTGCCTTAAATCTCAAGCATTTTAAGAAAAGATGGATGTTGGCTAGCAATGAAATCCAGGACGCACCCTACTTCGTTCCATCTGAGATTCATCATTTAGATGTACCTGCATCCCAGAGCTGATGTCTATTCCAGGCTATCTGAAATCAATAGCTAAGTGGATAACGTGATGGCATATGGCTTGTGAAGCCAACGGTACTGGGTTCGAGTTCAGGAGTGAACATCATTTGTTGGATGCAGGTACATTCAGCTAACGAGTCCTAAGTTGGATAAAGTGACGCTCATCCTGAATTCCACCGCTGGTCACCACCTATATTTGCTGGTAACCGTTACGTTAGTTTCTGATAATAGAATTCGTTAATCTTAATTTACATCAATACTCAATGGATTGAAGTCATAGCGTCAGTGTAATAACTCGGTATTAATCAAAGTTAGATCTTTTGGGATATTTTAGTTATTCGATATTACATGCAAAACATGCAGTAAATGATCAGATATTCACCAATACATTAATAATTCTGAATGATAATAACAATAGTTATTATTATCAGAAGGGTTTTTTTCCGTCGTGGATGCGCACTGCTGAGGAGTCCCATACTAGGAAGAAACGGCCTCCCGCTGCTTCCAGGTTTTCCGTAGTGGTCTAGCTTCAATTGACTCATGACCTTAACCATTGAAATTACTATGATATCCACAAAACCCATCTGATATGAATTAACATATGCTCAATACTAACTGGCTTCAAGAGGTATATCCTGGAGTTCTAGTGAGAAGTAGTGACTAGTGGAGTTCAACTGGGTCTGTTATCAGATATTAACCCACTGAAGACAATGGTGAATGTGTCGCTCAGTCTGCTGTGACTTCTACTAGGCTTCCATTCTTATGTTAATTGTCTGAAGAGTTACAGTCACTGAGTTATCAATGCGAATGTTTGCCGACAGATAATGGCACGAAAACTGATACTACTATTGAACTTGTACATTATTTACTTGGGATATTTGTCTGTGAAAATGATTTATGCCTGAAATCGAACACATCATGTGAGTGAAAACTCTTCCAAAATGAGGAGTATATATAATGTACCACGTTAAATTCAGCGGTACTTGAAATTAATAGGAGCTGTACAGACTCGAACTCTGATTCCATCAGCTTCAGCCTCCATGAACTAGTTTAATGAACCTTAGGAATTGTATCCACGGTTATGGTAGATGTCTTCACGAACTGGAGTTCAGTATTCATCTATATTGTAAGGATAAATACTGAATAATAGCAATTCGACGAAACTCCAGAAAGAAAAAGCTTTATAAAATTATTTAATTTATTTCCTTCTCTATGGATTATTTCGATTTCCTATGGCTACTTTCCGACTACATCTACAACTATTGATCAACAAATTTCCATAAATCACTTGATTAAGCAAAGTTCCCGAATGTCAGTTCGACATATTTTAAATTCAGTTTCTTTTCTTATTTATACTAGTTAGGTGATAAATATTACATAGATCCTAAAACTGGTTATACAGTTTTTACTGAAATTGAACACTTAACTCGTGGTTATTGTTGTCATTCAAAATGCCGCCATGTAAGTAATCATACTTATCAATGAATATGAACATTATGTTAATTAAATGAATGACTGTGTATATCCTGTGATTAAGTGTGGTGATCAAGTATCGTGAACAATTTAATTCTTATCCTATTACAACATGAGGGGACAATTAAAAGTCGTTGTATCTAAGTTTATAGGGCTCTTTTGTGCAGTATATTCAATGATATTCAGGGCTGAATATTAATAATGCTTAACATGAAGTATGCTGCCTAAACAGTTAGGAATGAGAAGGTTACATCAAGATCATGGCGCGTGTATCAATCTAGCTTGACGTTCACCTAGAATTAACAAAGAATAATTTTGACGGTTAGTCATGTAGTGATGGATTTAAATAAAGAGAACATTGTCAGGTATTTACAAAAATGTAGAACTCTCATTTATGATTATGGAAATGTGTGTGCGGAAAAATTAACAGGTTGGTATTCCGTTCTAACTTCTGTTGGGTACGAAAGTTCATAAGAATGGGATTTGCGTTTAGGCAGTCTAAGTCAATTATAAGTCAAATAGTGTTGCCAGTAATGTATTAAATATCTGGAATACAAATAATCTCTGCTGCAGCAATGACTAATCTGTCAGATATATCTTTAGTATAGTGATGTGAACACTGCTAAGAAGCTTGTTCACACTTATAGATCATATATTTTAATACCCACAGTCAGTCAATCAGCTACAACGTTGGACCAGGAACACATATGCATCGGTCCAAGTTGCCACACCCCACTCATTAGCACAACAAGATGAACACCAGATTCATAGAAGTAATCAATTCAATGATGGTAATTTATAAGAGAAAGATATGAAGCAATTTTAATCTCATAGTTTAAGGGAAGACAGAGAGTGTATACACCGACACCATTGTAATCGATTCTCAGCCATGTCACACACACGCGCACACACACACACAGTCTCCAACCATTGGTTATGATAGTCACACGGACTCCAACACAGCAGTCTGCATCCACCATCCACATGGCTCAGACCACAAGTTAGTGACTTCTTGAAATGATATCACGTTGTGGTTTGGCCACCCCTAACATTCTTCCAACAATCGCCAACACTAATCAGTGTTGCGCGTCGTGGTAATCGGTGTTCAGGCAGGCATGCACAACACGTGACCCAACCATCTCAGTCGATGAAGATTCACAACCTCGTCAACTGATTTACCATCATTCTCTAATAACCTGAGTCCAACCTCAATATTACTTGCCCGGTGATCCCAGCAGATGCAAGCAATATTTCTAAGACATCTGTGATCAAATACTAGTAGTTTCCGAGTATCTTCTGCTATTAATGGCCACGTTTTGCAGCCGTGAAGTAGAACATAACGAACTGCTGTGCAGTATAGTCGTCTCTTAATTGATAGACGGATATCTCGCCTTCGCCATAGGTGACGTAAGTTGGCAAAATCCAAACGAGCTTTTTGAATCTGTGCTGAGATTTCGTCAGACACCAACCAATTTGAGCTGATCAGACTTCAAATAAAAGTGACTTTGTCAACGCGTTCGACTACTTCAACCCCTATCATTATTTCGGGTGTTGACGCAGGCCAGTTCTGAACATTTTAATACCCTAAAAATATTGTCATTAATTTTCTTATTCTAGGTTTATTTTAATTAAGTAATTATCTTTGTTAACTACATGTACTCATTTACCTTTTAAAATAAGAACCTTAAAATTTATTTGAAAGCTAACTTGTGCAATATTCAAACAGAATTAACATTTATGTTGGCATATTCTTCTCTTAATTTATCTTTTAAAAACGAAAAATCATACATACGTTGTTTTATCTTAGATCAACGAATTCATTCTTTCTCCTTGAAATATACTATCTAGCCATACTGTTTTCTACTAACACTAATATTGTTGCTACTTTTATTATTCTGGTATTAGTGGACACAGAGCGTCCACCTAGGGGAGTTGGTGGTGTACATGGTCTTCAGGATCCTAAGGGAACAGATGGTGTATGAACCAATCGTTGGTCACCAGCTACCATAGGACCGCATCTCCTGACGTTCCTCCACTGCCTTGTGGATTAGACCTTTAGGTCTAAGGCTCTAAGTGCGGCTATCTAAGAAAACCACCTGGTTTGGTTTGGGCACCCAGGCAGTATCCCAGTCCACATACAAATCAAGTGACCTGTTTGGCGCATATGTATTCAGTGCCCCTTTTGTATCAATATCCATGTGTTCAAGTAAATATATAATTACTATCAACGATATCGTTACTACTATTTTTGTTATTCCGGCATTCATTTTCTTAATTTCATCTTTCTCTGCTGATAAGGTTTGTCAACTTGAGCCAATACATATATATCTCAAGTTTTACATTGCTTATAACTAACTAATCGGTATACATATATCTCAATCAGTTAGTCATCTATTTATACATTTATCAAATTGTGCTGTGAATTAAAGATTCATTTCATTTTTGTTTGTTTGTTTCAGTGTCCTTATCACCATAGCAACAACTGGAGTAATCTACCTAAGGATAAAAAATAATAATTCATATTCAATGTTCAATGAATCGATTATCAATACTTTTATTAATTAAACTCATTTTCTTTTAGTGCTGTACTTATTTAGTTAAATATTTCACTTAACAAAATAGAGCTTGTTTAAAATTTTAAAAAAATAATTTAGTTATGTTTATCAATAAATGTTACGTAACAATTTATAAGAACTGTTAACAAAGGGAAAAGCAAGATTCTCCGATACAACACAACACGCACCAATCGAATCACACTTGACGATAAATCTTTGGAAGAAGTAAAAACCTTTACATATCTGGGCAGCATTATTGATGAACACAGTGGAACCGATGCAGATGTGAAGGCGCGAATTGGCAAAGCAAGAGCAGCATATCTACAACTGAAGAACACCTCGAACTCAAAACAACTGTCTGTCAACCAACACCAAAGTCAGAAGTTTCAATATGAATGTGAAGACTGTTCTGCTGTATTGGACGGAAACTTGGAGAACTACGAATGCCATCATCCAGATGATACAAGTGTTCAATGATAGTTGTCTACGCAAAATACTTCCAATCCGTTGGCCAGACACTACCAGCAACAACCTACTGTGGGGAAGAACAAACCAGATTCCAGTGGAAGAAGAAATCAAGAAGAAGCACTGCAAGTGGATAGGGCACACACTAAGGAAAGTACCCAACTACGTCACAAGGCAAGCCCTCACTCGGAATCGTCAAGGCCAAAGAAGGAGGGGAAGACCAAAGAACACATTACGCCGAGAAATGGAGACAGACATGAGAAGAATGCACAACAATTGAATGGAAGTAGAAAGGAAGGCCCAGGACAGAGTGGGTTGGAGAATGCTGGTGGGCGGCCTATTGTCTATTGGTAGTAACAAACGTAAGCAAGTAAGTGATTAATGACTTTTGAACTGAGGAGGAAACACGATTATTTGCTTTGTAAAATAATCAGCCTTGGATATTTAGTTCATAGGATATTCATGGAGGATGAGAAATATTATTTGGATATTCAATAATTGTAACCGAGTTACATACAAGTTATTGCGATAAATTTTTTGGGGTCAAATTTACAATAGTTCGTATTTTCTTCAGTAGTATTTACTGTCGTTTGTTTATGGACTGGGATGTCACTTGATTGAGCAAACTAAGCCAGGATGGGTCTTAGGGGACGACCACCAAAGGGCGGTGGAGAGACATCAGGAGATAGAGTCTCATGATTTTCGGTGACCAGAATGGATTTTTATACCGTTCATTCGCTTAGTATCCTGAAACTCGTGTACAACGGTTGTTTGAAAACAAGATGTCACAATCCCATTAGGCAAATTCTTCGTATCTACTGGCCCGATTCAAACCGCGAACATCCATTTTTCATCATCACATCCCTAACCCATTGCCTAATGGACAGATCGGCACTGATTTTAAATAGCACATCTAGAATCCAGGTATATCCGAATGACGACTTCTAAATAGGCCGATAAATGAGTCTCGGATCCCACTTATAGTTACTGTAGTAAGCCCATTCAACTACTGTATTATATATCTGCTCACTGTAATTTAGACACTTAATCCACTATGTAAATTTCTGTGTGAGTATAATTGAGCACATGTCTGCACATCAATTTTCAATCTATTCTCCCATTGGTTGTAATACACAGACAATCAATAATTTATCCATACTTGATTGACACTCAAAAATATATATGGATTTTTAACACACACACACTCTTGGTTTCACAGTGTGCTTGCTTCCTTTGCGCTTGCGGATTTTACCAATCTCGAGTAAATCCATAATCCTACTAGGAGATTTAGCCTGCGTTAAGTACTCACTTAACGGGATACTATTTATTGGAGTCAGATGTAGAAGAAATTAGCCTATACATTACCACCTAGAATGTCATCAAACAAGCGAAAATCAAATTTTACCTATGAAACATTCAGAGAAAAGATGTAGATTTAATTCTACCAATAAATCATTATTGCATTTCCATTGAAACACCTACCTTCAGTCAGTCAGCTACAACGTAAGACCAGGAACATATATGCATCGGTCCAAGTTGCCACACCTCACTCATTAGCATAACAAGATGAACACCGGATTAATAGAAGTAGTTAATTCAGTAGTGGTAATATGTAAGTGAAAGATTGCATATAAAGATATAGTACAGGAAGGAAGAATCAGTTCGTAGAAAGAAAGATATGAAGCGATTTTAATCTCATAGTTTAAGGGAAGACAGAGAGTGTATACACCGACACCATTGTAATCGATTCTCAGCCATGTCACACACACATACAGTCTCCAATCATTGGTTATGATAGTCACACGGACTCCAACACAGCAGTTTGCATCTACCATCCACATGGCTCAGACCAGCAGTTAGTGACTTCTTGAAATGATACCACGTTTTTGGTTTGCCCGCCCCTACCTAACTCTAGACTGTTTACTTAATACGCCGACCGCCTTATGAGCCTTAGCATTTGTTTAAATTTTGATTTCCTTTTCAGCCACCCAGTATTTTTCCCATTCCTCAAATATAATTCAGATGCATATATACGTGTTTTAAAATCAATACTGGTAATGTATATCATATAATTGTATATAAAGGGTTTTTAATCTACTTCCTTGAAAACTTCACAGACAATATAGTTTCAGTTAAAGTTGGAGCTGGTTTCCATTCATCTAATTCACGTAATTCTTTACGTATTAATGTTAAATCTTGATTGAATTCCTGCTCAGTTGATTGTACTCTTTATAGTCCAAAAAGAGAATTCAAAAATAAATAAATATTCATATGAGAAATAATTCATTATAATCATACTTTTATATACACTCAGTTACATGGTTGTAAATAGTACATGAAACGTCATACTATTCTACATAAAAATATAAGAATCGATGAACATGAACTGTTGTGTATGCTACTTATGCTGGTAGATATAAGTAGTATGTAACATTAATCGGATGTGGAATGCCTAGCAGCAGAAAATATGTGAATGATGTATTCAATGTGGGATTTTCATATTTTCATAAGTCTACTATATGATTTTGCATTCAAAAGTGTGGTTGTTTTTCCCACAACTGAGCTCTCATTCACTACACTACTGGTTTTCTTAAATCACCAGTGTCATATAATTAAAGGACCGGAGTCAGATAAGGCTGATTACTCTCCCCCTCCCTATTTCGTCTGCTGGTTGACTGGACTATGAAGACTTCGACATCTGAGACGAAACACAGAATACAATGGACAGCTCAGAAACAATTAGACGATTTGGACTTCGCAGATGACCTAGCCCTCCTATCTCATACGCACGAACAAATGCAGATGAAGACAACTAGTGTAGAAACAGCCTCTGCATCAGTAGACCTCAACATACACAAACGAAAAAGCAAGATCCTCAAATACAACATGGAAAACATCAATGCAATCACACTTGATGGAGAAACTCTGAATGATGTGGAATCTTTCACGTATCTGAGAAGCATCATCGATGAACGTGGATGATCTGATGCAGACATGAATGTGATGATTGGCAAAGCAAGCGCAACATTCCCACTATTGAAGAACATGTGGAACTCAAAACAACTGTCAACCGATATCAAAGTGACAATCTTCAGCACGAAATTCATGACAGTTCAACTTGGAGAACTACCACAACCATCATCAAATTGGTACAAGTATTTAGAAACAATAGTCCACACAAGATACTCAATGTCCATTGATCGGATACTATTAGGTACAGCCTACTGTGGGTGAGAATAAAACCAACTTCTGGCTGAAGAGGAAATGAGGAAAAGACTTTGGATGTGGACAGGACATACATTACGGAAATCATCAGATTGCATCACGAGGCAAGCGCTAACTTGGAGTTGTGGAGGGAAATGGAAGAGAGGAAGACCAAAGAACACACTGTGTCAGGAATGGGAAGCAGACATGGAAAGAATGAATAGTAACTGGAAACAACCGAAAAGGATTGTCCAGAATAGAGTTGGATGGAGAATTCTGGTGAGCGGCTTGTGTTCCTCCACGACGGGTAACAGGCGTAAGTAAGTCATATAATTAAACTAACGTTATTTCTAAACGTTAGAAATAAATAAGTACAAAAGTAGGATACATTCAAGTGCACCAACTTACATTGGACTAACTGAAAATCTTGGAACTTCGATTTGTTTTGGAATGTGTGTCATTAAACTGAAAGGAAAATAGAAACACTTAAGATGTATATATAAACAGTTAATTGTTTTAAACATTAGATTTCTGGAGATTGTTTCAATTTGTTTTAATCATGAACTGATTTTGGTTAGATAATCATAGTAAACAAGGAATCATTGGAAATATGTTTCCTTCCGTTATAGGACTCCACAGAGTTACCTATATATATATATAATGCTAGTTAAGAACTAAATGAAAACATATACAGTCATAATAATCAGTAAGTTAATGTAAGCTACTATTGGTAGCCATAATGCTTAGGTCATTTTATGAAAATTTGTTTCTTTATTCTCTATTAGGTTACAACTAATTGGAGTATGTCCTAACTTATTAGATCATGTGATTTTGTTCATATTATATATGACTTTGGCCATCAGTCTTTCTTTTTAGTCCGATTGAAGTCAGTATTGTGTCCTGTGTTCAGTCAATGCGACGCTATGAATGATCTATTCTTCAGTTTTTTAAGGTCTTCTGTTTATTTATTTGAACACATAAATATTGGTACAAAGGGGCACCGAATACATATGAACCACATAAATCATTAGATTTGTGTATGGCCTGGGATACTGCAAGGGTGCGCAAACCGAAGCAGGTGGTTTTCTTAGGGTACCACACCCAGAGCCTTGGACCTAAAGGTCTAATCCATAAGGCAGTGGAGCAACGTAACGAGATACAATCTCATAGTAACCGGTGATCAACAATTGGTTCATACACCATTTGTTCCTTCCATATCCACCAACCCAGTTAAAGCTCCGGTCATTCGCCATTCGTCCTCTCAATTTTGTAAACAACAGTAATGCCACGAGAAGGCAGTGAGTAGGACTTCCCTATCAGTGGTTGTATGCATGTGGCCATGTGAGAGCATTTGGAATGATAGAGCTGACTGTTCTCACGCTCGGCCGTTCCAGGGTATTTGGGGGCTCGATCTCTTGAGGATTTGATAATAACTTTTAGTTATCTTTCCTATATTTCACTATCTCAATAATTTCCCTTTAAATATTCACATTCATATTCAGTACACTGAATTTCGTAGACGGTATTTTGTTATTCATCTTTTGAAAGAATTATAAACAGTAGTTTCCGACGTAGATTAATATTATTTGGAGTACCATTTAAAACCATGGAGTGTATGAATGATGTTTTTTTTATAGTATAAAAGTGTTTTTTGCAGTGTAAGGTTACAACTCACAACTATCAAGTATGCAGAGTTCTCTTAACTTTTAAACCACTTAGTTAGAACCCTATGGTCTCCATCATTTCCTGATACAACACAATATTCATTCATTGTCATAAGATTTCATTGAATAACTTACCCAAATTGAACTTTTGGAACAGATGAATTAATTTTATAAAAGTTTGGTGAATATTCTACAGAACCATAACTTTTATCTCCTGGTTTCATTGAATTAAATATACCATTATGTTGGTCTATAATATCCCCTAAGTATTCATTGAAAATTAATGAAAAAAAAACAAGACAAAAACAAAACAAGTAGCAATACATGTCTGAATGTGATGGGTAATATTACAAATAGCAATTCAACTTCATTACTTGTTTTCTAAACATTATTCCCAAACTTAATCAGTACTACTTAATGTGATAAGCAACTCAGATCATGTTTAATAAAGATTTTGTAAATAAATAACATTTTTGTTAGTAGTTAACAGTTGAATTAAGACATACAATTCATCTTAATTAAGCAGCTGTTAGCAAGATGTATATGTATTTACAACGAAACCTGGATTCAATATTTATCGATTCAAATAAGAAGAAGTTATCCACCAGTTATTTACTCAACAAGTACAAATATCAACAAGGTCTCATCATGTGGCTATCTGTGGAGCCTAGGATGTGCGTTTCATCCTATTTGAGACTTGTCAACTGGATGTACCTGCATGTGAACACCAAGTGAATATATATGTATAACCCGATGGTGTTTATGTTCTATGAAATCTATATGATTGAAATTCATGGGATGCATTTTGTGAATAAACGCTCGATCCCGACATGTTAATCATCGCAATACTTCATTAACTGGCTGTACTATTGTGACAGAACACAGTTCATACTAATTGAGCAGTTATATTCGCAACAAAAAATAACCTAACTATCTATAAAAAAGATTTTATGAAGGTTTGAAATTGTTAATCATTTTGAGAGATAAAATTCTGCCTAATCTAAATATATTCTCTAGAAGAAATATTATATCTAACAAGGTATTTTCTTATAAGGACCCATACAAAACCGTGTATATCAACATAGGCTTGTATCAACAACAGTGACTTCTACACGAGCGAGGATCGAAAGGGTAGTGTAATATTGTAATTCAGATGTGAATGTCATTTGTAATTACAAATTTTAATAAAACAGTATAGTGTGTAAGTTTGGGAATTCAAATTGTCCGCTTATTTTGCATAAATAGTTTAGTGTAATTCTTTTACAATGATCTTATACGACCAGTTTTATGTGGGCCACTATTAATTTGTAATTCTTTTGTGTGTTTTTGCTGGGTTTCTGAAACAAACTACTTAATAAGCAAAGGTGGATAGTGGCTAGCAGTGGAATCCAGGATGCACGTTTCGTTCTATTTGGGACCCGTCAACTGTGTGTACCTGCATCTCAGGTTTTATGTTTACTTGGGGACTAGAACCCAGTACCATTCGATTTAAACGCCATCACGTAATCCACTTAGCTACTGAGTCCTGATAGTCACTTGTGTGTGCAATGGGGTGAAGTTTAAATTTACTTGGTGTTGTTTTACTTGAATCTTCACACTGATGTTTAGAATTGTAATTGATCAGTGAATTAAGGCAATATCGAGGCAATACACAGAGTTTGCGCATATGCTAATAAGAGACTGACGATCAATTGCAGTCCTAAACATCAATGGGACTATTCAAGTAATACAATACCAAGTAAATTTAAACTACTCTATTTTTTAGTCAAATAATGTATTCCGAAATGTAAACTAATAGTATGCAAAGGATTTTAGGAAAATGTGATTTATTTGCGCTATACATTTCAAACAATCTAGTCAAGTCATTTTAATTATATGAAGGTTCAATTAAACAATGCTCACTGCTGAGGAGTCCCACAATAGGACGAAACGGCAGTTGAAATGCAATACTTGTAAATAAACAAGAAATGAAACAATAATATCGTGTGAAAAGAATAAGAAATTATCACCTTAACAAATATATGTAACCAACCAGATAGTTCGAAATGTATGACACAAATAAATCACTTTTTTTTCAGATCATTTCCATCTTCGTATCGTTCTTTCAAAATATAATAAAAGGGACTTATTGCTTTAAAGGTTGTTTTTACTTGAGGGAAACACGTTTAGTGTTACCCTTCATAATAAAATAGCCTTTATTCCAGTGACATAACACTACTAAAACGCACTCATTAGAAATACAAATATAGATATAAAATCAAAACTTACTTTGCCTTTTATGCGTGAATCCATCATGTAAACTATATTCTGATGTACAATAAACACTACGTTGATGTATTCCATTGAATAAACATTTCTTTCCAGTAGTATATCCATCCGTATAGATTGACCATTCTGGACTCATTCCATGACATTTTAATTCTGTAAATTATAATTTGATTCATAGATTGATTACCTGGATACGTTCTTAAATGACTTGAATGTTCTGGCCAAATATTTTCATCTTTCCTATTTTCATCTTTATATGCTTCAATATAACGCAATTTTGATGACCAATCTAATCCATAACTATAGTTGGTATTATGTATATCATGATTGATTTAAACAATAATGGATCATACTCTGAATAAATTGGATTTAATGCTAAATTATGTGGCCGCCAATTTAAATCATCTTTTATACAATAACCATGTGGAATAATTCGTTTATATGGGAAAAATTTTATTTCTTCTGTACTACATTTATTTGTATTGAGATAGTGTCGTCTCCCAGGAACTAAATAAATTATCAGTATAGGGTTGTGGAGATTATTAAGTTATTGATTGAGATCATGAATCGATTGATGTTAGACTACTATTGAAAACCTGAAAGCACTGGACAGCTGTCTCGTCCTATTTTGGTACTCCTCAACCATGCGCATCCACGATCCCGTTTGCAGGATTGGAACCCAGGGCCTCCAGTGTCACGGATTGGTTGAGGTTAGACATTAACATCGTTGGATGCCAGCCAGCTCAGTGGTCTAGAGGTTAGGGGTTCGCGCGCGAAACTGATAGGTCCTAGGTTTGAATCTCGCGGGGCGGCGGGATAGTGGATGCGCACTGTTGAGGAGTCCCACAATTGGACGAATCGGCCATCCAGTACTTTCAGGTTCTCCATGGTGGTCTAACATCAACTGATTGATGATCTCAATCAAGAACTAAATAAATTACTATTATTATTAAAATGAGATTATTTACATGATGGCATAAATAGAATATGATGGTACTCTAAATTATTAGTTAAATATTTGAAATATTAAAACAACATATAATTTAGGTCATATCCAATAGCAACATAACCAGAAAGCTTAACCATTTAAACAAAGAAAAGTAAATAAATGAATAATTTAATACAACCAGATCACTTGAAAAATCTATGTAATGCAGGAATAATAAGATTTGCAGAAGAAATGTAATTCATCAATCTATTTCACGGTTTCTCATCAGCTGCATAAGACCTAAAACTATGGTTCATAACAAATTTTTAACGTACTTTAGCTTGTGAAGTTTAGATAAAAGTTCGAAACACAACCGAAATCATAATACTAAGAGGAATAGGGATACAAACTGTTTATGAATAAACATACTTAAGATCGATATGTATTTATATTTCTTACTTACGTCTTTTACCTTTCATAGAGGAATATAAGTCGCCAATAGCTCTTCTATGGTTACTGTCAGTTCAAAGCCAGAGTGAAGAATGAGTGTTAAAATCGGGTTAGCAGCCCCATCTCGTAGAAGACAACCTTCTTAGAAAAACGCTAACCAGAATGAATATTTTAAACTATTTAAACTCTGACCTCCGAGTTGAAGGATCTTCATTCAGAAGAATTATGAGGTCTCATAATGAAATCTGAGATTCTCTGGAAGTTACGAGATCGATGCCTCTCCTAACAACCAGAGCGATTGTTAATATAGGTGCATGAAATGTACTTATCAATGGAAAAGTAATAATACAGAGTAAAACAGTTGTTATATTTACCAGTACTCATTAATCAAGATAAGAGAGGTAATGTAAAGGTAAAGAAATGAATATGTGGACATTAATAAGATTATGTAAGAGATAATTAACAATACACAAAAATAAAAATAAAAAGTTGGGGATAAGGTTGAAAAAAACAGAAAATTAAAATGAATAAAGACTATTAAATAGACATTCAATCACCATGACATGGAAAGCCTAATCACACTTTAGAGGCCAGATCGCAAACTTTTGATAAAGATTTCCCCTTGTGAAATGGAGTAAGATCAGTGTCTTCTTTTATCTGTTAATTATTTTGATTCCATTACTTACATTCACTTTATGTTTTCTATCCAAAAGTTGTTTGGCAATTTAACTTGTAAACACTTTACTCTCCTTTTAAATCTTATGTTTCTTCTAATACACTTTTCAGAAAATCTTCACATTCCATTATTCATTTGATACGGTTTGATAAAAGTGGATTATCATCGTTTGAACTGTCTATGATTCTGACGATTTACTGAAAGAGAGATAGACAGAAAAAGAGAGAGAGCTATCAAAGTGTTGAATACAAAGGGCGAAACTAATCCAACCAAGTTCAACGGAGTTTTTGTTCAATTATTAGTCACCATCCAGTAGTATAACTTGTTAACAAAGAGGTTGTTGAAAAATCACAACTCATGGTATTTTATCAAAGTCTAAAATAGATCAATGTAGACAAATTAATTCTTAAGGGATTTTTGAACTATAAATTCACTTGGTAATGTTTACTTGAATCTACCTATTGATGTTTAGGTCTGCAATTGATCAGTCTTTTATTGACATATATGCATACTGTGAGTAATGCATTGGTATTGTCTTAATTCACAAACAAGTTGTTATTAGGACTCATTAGCTAATTGGATAACACGATGGGGTACTGGGTTCGAGACCCAGAGTAAACATCAACTCTGAGATTCAGGTACACCCAGCTGACGAATGATCAATATTATACTTTCGTAAGTGAATACTAATTTGAGAGAGCTAAAGAAAGAACAATTATTTGGAGGTTAATTTTGTGGTTAATAATCTTTAATAAAATAGAAGGCTTTTGTGTCGCTTAAAAGCTGTAATATGACAGTTTATGACTTAAATAAAAATGCGTTGCATAACTTTACAAAATTATCAACATTAAAATGGGATTGTATCATAAACTGATTATGAAGACGTTAGTATCCTAGGTAGTTTGTATATGATTAATTAGATATTACCAAAAACTCTTAGCACGAATTGATTGTTAAGATGGATGACCTTACTTACTAAATTAATTAAGCCTGTTACCCGTTGTGGAGGAGCACATGCCGCTCATCAGAATTCTCCATCCAACTCTGTTCTGGACAATCCTTTTCGGTTGTTTCCAGTTACTATTCATTCTTTCCATGTCTGCTTCCCATTCCTGACACAGTGTGTTCTTTGGTCTTCCTCTCTTCCATTTCCCTCCACAACTCCAAGTTAGCGCTTGCCTCCTGATGCAGTCTGATGATTTCCGTAATGTATGTCCTATCCACATCCAAAGTCTTTTCCTCATTTCCTCTTCAGCCAGAAGTTGGTTTTATTCTCACCCACAGTAGGCTGTACCTAATAGTATCCGATCAATGGACATTGAGTATCTTGTGTGGACTATTGTTTCTAAATACTTGTACCAATTTGATGATGGTTGTGGTAGTTCTCCAAGTTGAACTGTCTTGAATTTCGTGCTGAAGATTGTCACTTTGATATCGGTTGACAGTTGTTTTGAGTTCCACATGTTCTTCAATAGTGGGAATGTTGCGCTTGCTTTGCCAATCATCACATTCATGTCTGTATCAGATCATCCACGTTCATCGATGATGCTTCTCAGATACGTGAAAAATTCCACATCATTCAGAGTTTCTCCATCAAGTGTGATTGCATTGGTGTTTTCCGTGTTGTATTTGAGGATCTTGCTTTTTCTTTTGTGTATGTTGAGACCTAGGGCTGCCGAAGTTGGTATTGCATTAACTGTCTTCATCTACATTTGTTGGTGTGTATGGAATCGAATGGTCATGTCATCTGCGAAGTCCAAATCTTCTTAATGATTCCGAGCTGTCTATTGTATTCTGTGGTTACCTCTCAGATGTCAAGGTTTTCATAAACCAGTCGATCATAAAGAGAGAGAGAAATGAAGAGAATAATCAGCCTTGTCTGACTCCGGTCTTCACTTGTAATGCGTCTATCATCTGTCCTTCATGGGCCACTTCGCTCTGTAGTTCGTCGTATGAATTCCGGATGATGTTGACAAAAGCAAATTAATTCTGGTATTGAGCGTTATCTCTACTAGTAAATAATGATAAGTTGTCATATAAATCTGTTATTGTGCTTGGTAACAATGTGATTCAAGTTCTTAAGCATATGACACATTGTTCCTTAACACGTTTGTATTTGACTCAAAGAACGTAGAAATTAAGCAAACATTTCGTCAAATATTCAATAACATTACTCTTTACTGCAGAATATATATATGGTTTAACTTATTCGTAATTTATATGATAAGTGTAATATGTATTTCTTCGAAATACAGAAACCTGAAATGTTAACAAACATTTACAACGATTAGTGATTCGAACAAGTTTTAACTAGCCTGCACTTATTTGCATGTACAAACATGAGCTGTTTCAATAGTCCAATGTATTATCATTAGTGTGAAACATATTTTAATACTTACTTACTTACGTTTGTTACTACCAATAGAGAATAGGCCGCTCACCAGCATTCTCCAACCCACTCTGTCCTGGGTCTTCCTTTCTACTTCCATCCAATTGTTGTGCATTCTTCTCATGTCTGTCTCCATTTCTCGGCGTAATGTGTTCTTTGGCCTTGACGATTCCAAGTGAGGGCTTGCCTTGTGACGTAGTTGGGTACTTTCCTTAGTGTGTGCCCTATCCACTTGCAGTGCTTCTTCTTGTTTTCTTCTTCCACTGGAATCTGGTTTGTTCTCCCCCACAGTAAGTTGTTGCTGATAGTGTCTGGCCAACGGATTGGAAGTATTTTGCGTAGGCAACTATTATTGAACACTTGTATCATCTGGATGATGGCATTCGTAGTTCTCCGAATTTCCGTCCGATACAGCAGAACAGTCTTCACATTCATATTGAAACTTCTGACTTTGGTGTTGGTTGACAGACAGTTGTTTCGAGTTCGAGGTGTTCTTCAGTTGTAGATATGCTGCTCTTGCTTTGCCGATTCGCGCCTTCACATCTGCATCGGTTCCACTGTGTTCATCAATGATTATTATTATTTTTCTATTATTTCGGAACGGGGTATTAGTAGGAAAAGGAGTATAGGAATTCAGTAAGATGGTGTGTGTGTGATATCTAAATCATTTCACATAATATATTCTTTATAAATGATATTGGAAAAAGTAAACTCATAGTTCATTATCCTTTGGTGTAATATAAGTATGATAACTAGACATCATTTGATCTAGAAGGATTATTAACAAATGATGATCGATTTTATTGACCTACGTCACACTTCCATTCATTATAAATTGATATTAACAATTACAAAACTTAATTTAGGAGAAAGTATGAAAGTAGTTAACGTAACTGTAAGCTAAGATGGATAGTAGCTAGCAGTGGAATACAGTTTGACACGCATCACGTCCTACTTGGGATTCGTCACGTGGATGTACCTGCATTTCAGAGTTGATGTTCACTCTAGGACTCCAACCCAGTACCATTCGCTTCAAACACCATTGCGTTATGTACTTAGCTATTGAGTCTTGATAGTCACTTGCTTGTGCAATGGGATGAAGTTTAAATTCACTTGGTGTTGTTTTACTTGAATCTTCCTATTGTTATTTAGGACTGCAATTGATAAGTCTCTTGTTGGCATACGTGCATCCTGTGAGGATTGCCTCGATATAGCCTTTAGTCATGAGCTTTTTGAAACGCGCGTCCTGGATTCCACTGCTAGCCGCTATCCATCTTTGCTTAAAAAGCTTGTGACTTAAAGCTGGATCGAGGCAATCCGCACAGAATGCACATATGCCAACAGGAAACTGATCAACTGCAGTCCTAAATAACAATGAGAAGAGTCAAGTAAATCAACATCAAGTGAAGTTAATGTAATTATTTACAACATACCCTTGGATGATAGCAATACTAACTATGTACTAATCACACTCTTTTTGAAAATACATAAAGTTACATAAAATATGAAATTACTGTTATTTATTTCCTTAATGT